ACGTACGACAGTAGTCCGATTTGCATCTTGTTGTTGCGTGGTTGTGAAGCCAGCCCTAAATAATCTATTTTATACCTACAATATCGCCGCGGAGCGCGGTGGAAGACAGTCGCCGCTATGAGATATACACTATCGCCGCGAAGAAGACATTGCGATCGAATATTGGTGGGCCAGAAATGAAAACTTTGACGGCCATAACTAAGATTCCGATCAAGGAAAGGTGGAGCACGTTTCGTTTGAAATACATAAAACAATTTCTATCTAATTAAAAACAGTTAATAAAAAACACAGTCACCAGCATGGGGTTGATGTCATTGGGCAGAGAGGTGACATTGAGCACCTCAGGGGCTGTGTTGTGGCCTGTGTCAATGCTGCTGCTGATCTGTTGATCTACAGATCTTCCATTGTCACCCAGCTGATTCCACAGGGAGATGAGATGGCCCTGCTTCAGTATGCATTCTGACTTCTTCCTCTTCTTCTGCTCTGATGCATTGGTCTGTTCAGCAGCTGCCTGGTGCTTCTTGGCTTCCTTCCTTGCACACTGTGGTTGCTTGAGAAGAAAAAGAAAAAAAAAGAAAAGAAAAGCTTGATGGCCATACCTCAACAAGTACACCCACCAACATTCAGTACTATGCTGAGTGGGTAACCCTCATCCCACACATCCCCATGGAGAGGCTCAACTTCTGCAAGTCACACTTCATTTCCCAACAGCTCCACTATAACTGGGCTGAGGGTCCAGTTGGTGCCAAGCTCTACCTCCATGACACTGCTGACCTAGCAGACTCAATCACCCTCCTGGCCAACCACCACAACCCCTTCTACATTTACATGTGGGCAGTCAACCTCCAAGTGGGACTTCTTCTCCTTTGTCCTGGTGGCCAGTGACTTTTTCATTGTCAACAACACTGCTGTTCACTTCACTGGCGAAATGTGTGACACTACTCAACCTCTTCACCCACTACTGCATCACCTACATCTTCCTGCCTTCATACTCGCCCTGAACTGATTTGCTCCGGCCGAGCAATATTTGATATTTTTAGAAATGTTTTATGTTGTTGTGGTTTATTGGGAGGGTGAGCGGAAGGCCCCTGTGACCATCTCCACCGAGCCCCCCGAGGCACGCCGCCGCGGGTGGGGTAAGACCTGGGCGTGGGGGAGGAGAGGGACCCGCGCTCGCCCACCGCACTGCAGTGTGACGAGCGCAGAGATCCCTTCCCCTGACTCCCCCACGTGACTAATCATCATCGTCGGTGTACAATCGCCCAAGGCCCCGCGGCGTAGAGAAAAGAGAGAAGAGCGGAAGAGAGGAGATGAGTCCAGGGTCCTCGGGGAGCCTTACTCATCGAACTCGGGGAGCTCCTCCTCGGCGGCATCGGCGGCGAACACGGACTCGTCGACCTCCACAGCTGGTTCTCCGTCGTCGCCCTCGATGGGACCCCTGTGCTCGTCCTCTGGCACCTTCTCCTCCTCCTTTTCGGTCATTTCCTTGTTCTGCATTCACGCCGCACGCACATACCACCAGATCGCGTGATGTCAGTATAAAACACACACGGCAGCATCAATGGGCGAACCCCTCGCTCTTGTTTGTGTGTGCGGAGAAAGGAGGCTGGACCTTTCTGAGCTCCTCTTCGTCAAAGGCGAGGTCGTCGTCGCCGGCAACGAGGTCGGGGTTGAACTCGAAGGCCTCGCGACCGCTCATGGTGGTCTTGCCAGCCTTGATCTGGATCTTGCGCTCGGCAGCGGCCTTCTCCTTGGCCAGCCGCTTGTCCTCCTTCCACTTCAGGAAGAGCTCCAGAGTGAGCGGCGTCGACTTGGTGAGGGCACGCCTCTCCTGCTCGAGCTGGTCCTCGAGTGTGATCTTGTCCTCGTCCTCGTCCTCTTCGTCCTTCTTCTTCTTGGCCGCGAGGACGAAACCGGGGGGCAGCGCGTGCCGGTACATGCAGTCCTTGCCTCCGTTGGGGCACGCCCAGAACCAACCGTACTTCTTCTGCTCGATAGCATCGAGGAAGAATTTGCAGATGATGTCCGTGCGATTCGTGGCACCGTGCTTCTTGTCGACGACTTCTCGCAGCTTGTTCTCGTCCCAGTCCTCCATGGTGTCGTTCTCGCCGTCTTCGCCGTCGCGTCTATCCGAGTACATATCGATCTTCGCCGCCTTCCGCTCTTTGGTGAGATCGTGGGAGAACTTGCAGCGATTACCCTTCGTGCACGTGCCCGCCTTGAAGAATTGGCACACCACCGATTTGGGATCGACGCCCGCTGCGACTTGCGCCTTCTTGTCCACCACGGGCTTGAAAAGCAAGTTGAGCTCCGCTGCCTTCTCAGCAGCGATCTGCTTCTTCGACTTTACTTCCTCTCCCGGCTTGGGTTTCTGTACGCGGCCGATGTATAGGAAATGATGAGCGATCAAATTAATTTCGATTAATTGGATCGTTGCAGCGCATTTGTTGCCATTGGGGCAGGGGCGCACCTTGTTGCCAGCCAGGCTCTGCGTAGTTTGGGTCTTGACCGTGGAGATGTACTGCTGCACCTTCTTACTCTTGTTCTTGTTCTTCATGCCGAAGGTCTTGTCCTCGACAATCTTCTGGACCTTCTTTTGATCCACCTTCTTCGCGCCCTTCTTCGCCGACATCTTGAGTGCTTCGCCAATCGAACTGCTTGCTCTTTGTTACTACCGGTAATTGATGGATGCTGCCGCTGATGCAATTGCCAGACTGCCGCTGCTGAATGTGCTCTGCCCCCTCCCCCCCTCTTTCTACAAACATTTCTTTCCTCCTTCTTTGTTTCTTCCAATTTTCTGGTCTGTTTATTTCTGCGCCTGTTCCACAAGACGCGCAACGACAAACCACCGCCGGGAAGGTCACTGGCCGTGGAGGAGCCTGTCGGCGGAGGCAAACTCGGCAAAGAGTTCGGGCGAGATGAACTGGACGTCGCGAAGGAAGACGAGCACCTTCATGGCCTGGTCCCAGAAGGCGAAGGCGTTGTTGAGGTCGGTGGTGATGTCCCTGCACGCGGGGAACTTGGAAACGAGGGCGGGCATGTCGTCGCCCAGCAGGTAGTACTTGATGACCACGCCCATCGCCGTGCTGCTTTCCTTCAGGAAGGGCAGCCTATCACGTTCGAGAAGAAAGCAACACAAGTTGAGCGACGGTGCAACTCTCTGAGGGAAGAGGGTTGGGCGGTTTTTTACCTGAATGAGGTGTTGATGTAGTCCTCGGGGGAGAGGCGGGCTTTGTGGGTGATGACAGCGTGCGCGGTGAGGATCTCGGTCAAGTTTCGCAGTGAGCGCTGCAGGGCCTTCACGATGGAGTTGAAGCCCATCAGTTCATGGTCGATGGGACCCGACCACGGCTTGTCCTGCGACACCAACGGTCAAACAGGTGAGCAGGCCATTGCGCGAACGAGAAGAAATAGGACCAGGGGTAGCTTACCGCGTGGTAGTTCATGGAGAGCAAGCTCACAACACGCGAAATGAGAGTGATCTCCTTGGCGTAAGGGGAGTTGGCCTCTGTTTGGGCACACGGCAGTGTCACCGTTAGAAGGAGACGGCAGGCAGGAGACAAGCAAGCAAGCATGCGTACCCAAGAGGGGCCTCCTAGGCTGGGTATGAAGCGGAGTAGGCTGGAGATGGCCGGTCGTGAGAAGCTCGATCAAGATGAACGTTTCCTCTTGATATTTGCTCTCGACCAAAGAGAGCGCCTTGCCGAGCACCGTCAGTTGTCGGTCGGGCGTGAGGTATCTATCAGAAAAGAGCAGGAACGTGTTTGAGTCAACACCAACCCAGGCTTAACAACGGCGCATTGTAGGGAGCCAGCGCTGAAGCTGTGTACCCTCGAATTTCCAAGCCCTGGAAAAGCACGGCGGCCATGAGCTCCTCCTGGGACACAATGGGCTCCTGTTGCGATGTCGAGTAGAAGATGCACGTTAACGAAATGTTGACAATAGGAAGGGCTTGGTGGACATACATCAGGAACGCTGAGATCCGGCGGACCCAAGTCCTGCACCATTTGGAGGACGAAGCTCAGGCCAATGTCGGCAGCGGAACTTTTGTTGATCTTTTGCAGCTGGTTCATGATGTCCGAGTGTTTCACGTAGCACTTGAGGTACTCGAGGACGTCATCCCTGTAGGCGTGGTCAAGGTCGTACTCGCTCGACGGGTCGAACCATCGGATGGTTACCTACGCCATGACAAAATGCCAAGAAGTGCATTAGCGCATGCGGCCCTTCGGGCATAGGCGCATCTGATGAGGAGGAGTACGTACAACTCTCTTTTGCTTGTACCAGTCATGGAGCGAAAGCGAGAGGATGGCCAGCGTCTTGGTGCGGATGTCGATCAAGTCGCCGAGCATGCGCCTGTACTCGTCGGAGTCCACCTGCCAGTGCGCATTGCGGTGAGTTGGCGGTCTAATGGGGGTATTGGAGGTCCCAATTGGCGAGCAGATACCAGAGGCGGCGCTTCGAGAAGAGCGCCAGAGAGCAGGTTATTAACGACCTGAGGCAAGATGCCGCCTTGACACAACAAGAAATAGAGCTCATTCGGCAGGCGCGGGCTGATCAACTCGTGCAGGTCGCTGAACCCAATTCGAATGAAGTGAGACACCACGTTCATGAATAAGAAGCTAAACGTGAGGATGTTGTGGCTAACGAAAGATACCTTGGGCAAGCGTGCTTGTTGAACGGCTCGCAGGTACAGTTGGTGGTGAAAATGACGTGGTGCCGAATGACATTCCTGGAAGGGACACGCAAGTGGTGAGGCAGGCCCAAAACAATCGCAGTCGAGTGCGGCGTACCTTGTGCGCATGAACAGGTCGAGGTAGTTGAGCTTTTGTACTTGGGGATGGTTGATGTGGTTTTGCACCGCGGTGAGTCCGGTTTTGTAGCCCTTGACCATTTCGTAAGCGGCTGCGATGGACGCGGTGTGTTAGCAAAGTAGCGCCTACACGGACAGGGATGCAAGACACGAGTGGTGTTTGTGAGCAGCAAACCTCTGAAGTTGAAGGGACCCTCGAGCAGGGGCGGGAAGGTAGAGCAAAGGTCGAAGCCAGCAAGTATGCACGCATCGATGAACTGGTCCTGCGTCATGTTCAACTCCCGCAATACAGCTGCGTGATCGACCCACTCATACGTTCCTTTCTGTGGTGGTCAAACAGCATCACACGATAAGTGTCAAGTCTGTAGAGGATGCCTGTTCGAATAATCGAGGTAAAGGCGGCGTACCTCAAAGTCAATGCTGACGACGATGCGAGAAACGCCAAACAGCAGGAGCTCGAGTCCAGCGTACACGGTTTGCACGTAGCCCTGCTTGGCGTCGGCCAACCAGGCAAGCTAGAAAATCATGCCCGCCACCGCGCTGTGAGCATACAACCCAGCCACGAGCGCACCAGCTCCACCAAAGGCGGTGCGGACCTGAGGCCAGGAGTAGTAGGGAGCTCGCATGAACTCTACCCCGTGGGCGTGGAAGTGTTGCAACACCTCAGTGAGGAAATTGAGGCTGATGTACTTCTCTGCTCGAGCAAAACATGGTGTGCGAGGTAAGACCAGAGCGAGCAATACCCACATTCAGCAGGCGAGAGGGGAGGCAAAGAACTAGCGTGTGGTTGTGGTCGTACCAGCGTTTTCAAAGAGGGACGCGGCCTGAGAGATCTGTCCCTTGTAGTAGGCGTCCCACGCGCTGCTTCTCTTCTGCGCGCGACTGTCGGCACCACCGGCGAGGAAGGGGCGATCCTTCTTCACGAGATTAAGCCCCGAGAACACGAACAGCGGTTTCACTGAGGCCTTCCTAATCGGTGGGGTTGCAGTGATTCAGTCACGATCGACACTGCCGGCACAAGACTAGAGAGAGGGAAGCGATAATGTACTTGAATTTGTCGAGTTCTGCGTCCACCGCGTGGGCGAGGGTGAGAGGGGCTCCACCGGTAGCAACCTGGAAAGGCTCATTGACGGGAAGCTTCTTGAGCCAATTAGCGCCTTCGATGCCGAGCCTCGTGTGTGCCAGCGAGCTGATGTTGCCCGTCTGGACGAGCCTCCTCTCGCTGAGGAATTCTAGACAGATTCAATGCGACAAGAATTGAGTCTAACTGACTGAGAGCTGTGGCGTGCAAATCAAAGAGTGAGATTAACCTTGCAGGCCACGAATGGGCATGTTTAGCAACGTTGATCTTCGTCTACAGGGGCGCGAATGTACGCCACACACAAGAAAAAGAGATGCGAGAAAAGCTTGAGTTTCCCTTCTTTCTTTTTTCACACCAGCGCCCTTTTTCTCTTTCGCACGACACCGCGGCCGAAACAGATCTTGATCGCTCTCCCATTTTGTGTAAATGTCCCAATCTGGAAGGCGAAGACGCAGCAAGTCTTCCTCGTCCCCAGGTCCCGCTTGGAACACGCCTGTCGCACCCACGATGGATAATTTCAGCTTCATTTTGGGCTCCCAGATCCGCTACCTGGTGTCTTCGCTCTCGAAGAAGAACTACCGCACGAGCGTCGCTGAACTGGAGCACGTATGCGCACTACTTCCTTGCCTGCCTCGCTGAGTTCTCGTCTCACTCCTTCTTTTGCCTGGTGCGCTACAGCTCATCACGCTCTACGGGCACGATGCGTATCTCTACCTGCTTCGCTGCTTGATGGAGCAAATTGACCTCAAGGACAGCGCCAAAAGCCAGCAGCGCTTCCAGCTTCTTCAGCAGCAGCTACTCCAGCTCATCGACAAGCCCAACTTCCCGTCCGTCCTCTTCCAAGCCCTGTCAGGGCTCGAGCTGAAGGAAGATTTTCTCAACCAGCTCTCGAAGGCGTTGAAGCTCAATCTGGCCCAGGATATAGTCCTGGCGCTGGGCCTCGCACAGGCTCCTGAGAAGAGCATTCGCCACGAAGGTACCCCCCCGCTGCATAATCCAAGCGATTTCTTTCTTCAATTTCTAAATGCCACCATGTGTTCCAGGGCGCTCTTTCCTCCGCATTAAGCTGCCCGAGGTGGAAAACAACGTGTCTCTTCTGCCTGAATCGCTTCTGCATAGCCTGCTCTACTACTTGGGCAGCAAGGACGGCTTTGCAAAGCAGAGAGCGACTCTGGCCAAGGCTCTTCAGGCCTCGGGCAAGCCTCTTTCGCTCTCGCTGCTCGTTCTCGCGAGTGACGACAAAATCGACTTGGATTCGCGAAGGTACCCGAGCATTTGATTTATGACACCTTTTTTTTAACACTCACACTCAATTTGCGACAGAGGGCTCGAGGAGCGCACCGATGAGGATGCGGACAGTGAAGAGGCGCTGATTGCAGAGATCTCAGCTGCCGTTCACCCCAGCGAATTGATGCAAGACATTGGCTACCAGTGCTGCCAGACTGCGGCCAATCTCAAGGAGCTTCTCAAGAAGTTCCCTGATGCCAACGAAGCCGACGTTGCCGCGATCCTCGCCATGATGCTGCGGACGAGCGCGGAAGGCGAAGAAGGCTCAAGCGAGCCTAGCAGTTGGAATCTTGGAGTGTTTGTAGATACCATCAAGGAGTTGGTACGGTCTCCCCGCCCCCTTTTTCTGCACATAGATACATCTGGAGTGACACGTGCCCCCCCCCTGCACTGGCGTGCAGCACCCCAAGTTGAACTGGGCTTTGGTCATCAAGAGCCTCGACCGACCGGACTTCTACATCGCCGACGCCAAGGCGATGCACTTCATCCTCAACGTGTACAAAAGGGCGACAAAAGTACATCTCCCGTTGCTTGCCGTACATCTGCAGCCGACTGATTCATACCGTGCCACAGGAATCGTTTCCAGTCGATGCGGTGACGGGCAAGTGGTTGAACACCCGAGGCCAGCTGTCGTTCTTGCAGCAGGCTCTTGCTCTGGGAGCGGAGGCGGTCAATTTCGCCTCCACGACCCCGCAGCCGACAACATTCACGCTCGATCTTCCCCACCCCAACAAATCGTCGGCCACGCTGGTGCAGAACTGGCACAATCTGGCGCTGATCGAGCGCCTGCTCAACCTGGCCGAATCAGAGGGCTTCGATGCGGTGAAGGAGATCTTCAAGGGTCCTCTCGAGAACTGCCCAGAGTTGCTTCTCCTCAAGCTCGCGCAGCTACAGGTAATCCTTCTCTCCTGGACACTCCCCTGTCTACTGTGATATTGACGCTCTACGATTCAACCAACAGTCGCCGTGGGGCATCCTGTACTGGGAGCTGTGCTCCGAACTGCTGGCGTTGTTCCTGGGAAACCACCCCAACTCCAGCTATGTTCTGCAAAAGCTGTGGGGCGTCAATCGATCTCTGGTGATGCGCGGCATGGTAGAGAGCTACAACAAGGATGCTTACTGCCTCTCCCGGCTCTTGGACGTGGCGCACGATATCAAGGTACCAACCCACGTGCTCCCAGCGCTGGCGTGCTACTCGTCTCTCACAGCTACCTCTTCCGTTCAGGCACTCTCGCCCATCCTGGAGATTCGTCCGTTTGCCTTTGCCATCGACCTTGCCGCACTGGCCTCACGCCGAGAGTATCTCAACCTGGAGAAGTGGCTCCAGGACAGAATCAACGAGCATCAGCTCGAGTTTGTTGTGGTACCGTGACCCCCACGCCCCCGCCTTCGTGAGCCACGCACGGCTCTGACCCTATTTTATTGCAGGCGTGCCTGAGCTACCTCAAGGAGAAGAAGAAAGCGTATGCGAAGAACTCGTCATCTACCAAGGGAAGCAACGCCAACAGTGCTGTCGCCGCTCTTTCGGCGGACACGTTGGGCGTGTTCTTCACCGTGATGCAGGCCAACATCAAGTACGTCGACATCTTCGTTACCAGTGTTGCTTGCAGTCCGCTCAATTGGCATCCTCTTTTTGTGTCTTGGGATCGTAGCATGATGCCGGCCGACATGGTCGAGGAGTTCGATCAGCTGCAGAGTGCGCACGCGATCCAGCTCAGCAAGGTCACGGCCACTCAGGGAATGAACACCCCGAGCGGCGGAGCGTCAGCCGACCCACCCGCACCCGAGAAGGAGGGCTTCCCGAAGGAAATCGAGAAGACGGCCAATGCCTACTTCCAGAGCGTCTACACGGGCCAGGTTTCAATCGACGAGATAGTCACGCTCTTGAAGAATTTCAAGGCGTCGAAGAACAAGAGGTACACCGTGTCGACGTTGTTGTTGTTGATGCCTTTTATCGAGCACCACTCACGCCACGTCATTCTGGTCGTACAGGGAGCAAAAGATATTCTCGTGCATGGTTCACAACCTCTTCGACGAGTATCGATTCTTCCCCAAGTACCCCGACAAAGAGCTGCGGATCACCGGCATCCTCTTCGGCCAGCTGATCCAAAACCAGCTGGTGTCGTACATCTCGCTCGGAATTGCCCTGCGATACGTGCTGGAAGCGCTCAAGAAAGCACCCAACACGAAGATGTTTAAGTTCGGGCTGTTCGCGCTCCAGCAGTTCAAGTCGCGCCTTGGCGAGTGGCCTCAGGTGCGATAACTGCCCTCTTACCACTTCTTGTCGAGTGTTGTGCCCATTCCCGTTCTTACACGCCACCTTACTGTTCAACAGTACTGCTCGCACATCCTGCAAATCCCCCACATTCGGCAATACCATCCCGACATTGTGGAGTTCATCGAGGATTCGCTCAAGAACGCGTCCGGCGTTGCCGCTCCCGAACCCACCGTGCCCGCCATGCCCAAGGTAACGCATGACTCTTGGGGGAGGCGCCGAAGGTGCACGTGGTTAATGCACATATCAGCAAAAGACAGGAGACGCCGCTGGAACGTCCACGTTCTTGCCCGGATTCGCACAGGCCGAGGCAGCACAAGCTGGGCAACCCGCTGCTCTCACCGGCAAAGCCCCGGTGGCCAAGCAGTCGCCTGCCACGACCGCCCCCGCCGCGCGCCCGACCACGCCTCCTCAGGCCGCGCCTCCTGCGAGCAACGTCCAGCCACAGAGTTCGGCAAAGGCGACCGGGTCTGCGTCTGCTGCTCCCGCCATGAAGGGCAACGCTCCCTCGTTCCACATGGGCAACCAGCTGCCTTTGGAGGCCATTCTCCAATCGATCACCCCAGCTTCTGGTACGACACCTCCGATCGTCCACTCGCCAATCTACAATGGCTTACCATCCAGTGTCCGTACAGCGCCGGATGAGACGATCAAGGACAAGATCTTCTTCGTGTTCAACAACGTGTCTAAGCAGAACATGGACATCAAGGCCAACGAGCTCCGAAGCATCCTGCACTCAGAGGACTGGCCGTACTTGGCCCAGCACTTGGTCATCAACCGCGCCAGTATCGAGCCGAACTTCCACACGCTGTATCTCGAGTTCCTCGACTACCTCAAGATCCCCGGGCTCTTGGAGCTGGTGCTCAATTCCACTTACGCTGGTACCTCTCGCTTCGCTTCGTGCTGCTCATCTTCTTGTAAAGCATTTTTACTCAACCTCTGTCCCTCCAGCGATCCAAGCGCTGTTGCGGTCCCAACGCATCACAGTGAACCCAGCGGAGAGGACCTTGCTCAAGAACTTGGGCTCTTGGCTGGGTAACCTCACACTGGCGCGCAACAAGCCTCTGATCCACAAGCGGCTTGCCCTTAAGGTACGTCCGATCGTCTTTCTCGAGCAAGCGTGTTCGTGTTGCTGACTGCGCTTGCCCTGTGCAGGAATTGGTTCTGGAGGCCTATGAGACGGGCAAGCTGATCGCGCTGATCCCGTTCGCGGCCAAGGTGCTCGAGGCTTGCACTAAGTCCAAGATCTTCGCTCCTCCCAACGTCTGGGTGATGGCGATTATGCGGCTGTTCGCGGAGATCTATCAGATCCCCGAGCTCAAGCTCAACCTTAAGTTCGAGATCGAACTGCTGTGCAATCACATGGGGCTCGATCTGAACGGTAGGCGTCTCTCTCTCTCTCTCTTTGCGCGCGCGCGCGCGTGTGTGTGGCAACAACCTGCTGACCACCTTTACCCGTCCTTCACAGAAATCAAGCCCACTGAAGCGCTGAAGGACAAACTCAGACCAGACAGTCAGGACTTCACCGCGCCTCCACCAGCTGCCGCGCTGGCTCCAGGTACCTTTTGGAAGGCCACTCGCCCTCATCTTTCGTCGCTTCTGACACCGATTGTCTCTGTGCAGCACCAACACCTGCAGCCGTTACCGAGGTCCAGGCTCCGCATGTCCCTGTGGTCGCGCGCCAGCCGCCCATCTCGCCTCCCAGCGAGCCGACTCCTGTGGCCCAGCAGGCTCAGCAGCCGCCTCTCGGAACGCCGCTTCAGTTCCCGACCGCGGCGCCCGCGCTGCCGGCCGGGGCCGCGGGCCTGTGGAAGATCAACCCGCACATTCCGCTCTTCAGCCAGCAGCCTCACCTCAAGCGATGCGTCACCATGGCCATCGACAAGGCCATCAAGGAGATTTTGACCCCCGTCATGGAACGATCGGCCACCATTGCCTCCATCACGACGAGGGAGCTCGTGCTCAAGGACTTTGCTCTGGAGCCCGACGAGCAGATCATGCGCACCGCTGCGCACTACACCGTGCAGAGCCTGGCGTCGAGCCTTGCGATGGTGGCCTGCAAGGAGCCCCTTCGCGTCAGTATCGCCAGCCACTTGCGTTCGCTGCTTCAGGCCAACGTGAGCGACCAGGCCCAGCGCGCGTTGATCGAGCACGCCGTCCAGACCGTTTGCACCGACAACCTGGACACCGCGTGTGCCCTCATCGAAAAGACCACGGCCGAGAAGGCGCTTCGAGAAACCGACGACGCCCTCGCTCCCGCCCTTGAAGCGAGGCGTAAGCACCGAGAAAGAGCGCACAGTCAGCCCTACATCGAGCCCAACTTCTTCTCTGGCCGCTATCCGTCGTCGCTCCCCGAACCGTTGCGCCCCAAGCCCGGCGGTCTGCTTCCCCACCAGAAGCGGGTCTACGATGAGTTCAGCAACGTCCTCTCCCGCACGCCCCGCGTCCAGCCCGCACCTCCGCAGGTCGTTGAGCGCGTCCCGACCCCCGGCGCCCCCACCGTGGCGCCCACCCCTGTGCAGCCCTTCCGGTACGTAGCCGCAACCCACCACTCCCTTCCACATTTCCTCGCCTGAATTGCTGACTTGGGTTGGTGCGACTGCAGGCCCTACCCCACGCCGATCATGGCGCCGAATATGCCCGAGGGAGGCGACGTGTCGCAGATCTCGTCTTCCGGACTCACCTACGTCGTCAACCAGGGGACGGTGAACCTGTCGCAGCAGGACGCCCGCCGCTCCATTCACACCAGGGAGGTCGCATCCCCCGTCAAGGCCGTGAAGAAGGAGAAGCTGACGACCGGTCAGGCTCTGCAAAAGTTCAAGAGCATCCTGCACGACCTCGAGGCCTCTATTGCTGGCGCCGTCAGTACGGCGCCCCGTCCCCAATTTGTGTTGGTCACGTCCGCCGCCGTCTCGTGGTCGCTGACCTCTCTCCAATCTGTTTTCTACAGCGACCCTCTCGTCTCTGGAGCAGCTTCCCGAGGACCACCCGGTGCTTCACTTCCTGGACAAGATCCCAACGCTCATCACCAATTCCATCAACCCGAACGAGGTCGCGCTGGCCATTGCGCAGAAGATCTTCAAGCGCATGTACGAGAAGATCGAATACGACCTGCAGATCGATACGCACATCGCCATCCTGGAGCACATCCGCGATGTGTGCAAGAAGGTCGTCAAGGAGCTGACCAACTGGATCATCTACTCCGATGCCGACGTACGTCCTACTACTCTGTCTTCTCGACCCACTTGATCGGGGCTGACGCTTTGTTGCTTCCCGCCATGCAGAGGAAGTTCCACCGCATCATCACCATCGGGCTTATCAACTCGCGGCTGCTCAAGGCGACCGACTTTGACGTCCACCTCTCGAAGAAGATGGACAGCGGGCGCAGCAAGCAGGCTGTGGACTTTGCCATCCTGGTGCTGCAGAAGTGCATGGTGGAGCCCAAGGAGCCCACCGTTACCGCCTCCGAGTTCTTCAACACCCTCGAAGTGCTCACCAAGATCGCCCAGCGTGGCGCCGGACCTGAAGGGTACACACACACCGCACACCGCACAATGCCTTGTCCTCTTTTCCCTGCATCGCGCTAACTCTCCTTGTTATGTGTGCAGGCTTATGGAGCTCATCACTCAAGCCAAGAGTGTGACCAAGGCCTCGGCCGAGAAGCTCCGTTCGCCGCGCAAGCTGGCTCGCTCCAGGGACGCGTCGGAGGCCGCCCTCTCGGCTTCCTCCCAGCAGGCCGCCATGCTGCCCGGCATGCAGGCGCCTGAGATTCGCGACCCCATGTACGAGCAGGTCAGACAGCTGTGGGAGGAGTGGAAGCACATCTACTACCAGCCCAACCAGAGCGACAAGGTCTTCTCCACCTACCTCACCCAGCTTCAGCACAAGTACGTTCTCCACCTCCGCCTCCGCCCCCTCATTAACTTCCACTTCAACGAACGAACGCGGACATACTCACCGGTGTTGCTTCCCAGCGTGCTGCAAAGCGAGGACCAGGGCGTGGTCAAGAGCTTCTTCCGGGTGTGCACCATTCTGGCGATCGAGCAGAGCTTCAACCCCACCATCGGCACCACGCCTCAGTCGCAACCCGTCAACACATCGGTCCTCCCCGGTCAGCTCAGCTACAGGTCGGTCGACGCGTTCAGCAAGCTGGTAGTCTTCCTGTACAAGTTCTCGCCCGAGGGCCTGGCCAACGCGAACGGTACCAAGCTGAACCTCCTGAACAAGGTCCTCGACACCGTGGTACGCGTGCTCGTCAAGAACTACGACACCAAGCGCACCAAGTTCAACCAGAGGCCCTTCTACCGGCTCTTCGCCTCGCTCCTGATCGACCTCAACTCGTTGACCGCTGAGACGGACCCCGCCCACCTCCAGGTACGACCAACAGAACTCCTTTGAGTTGGAGATGGCTGTGTTGCTAACATTGTTGGGCGCTCATGTCAGGTGTTGATGGCCTTTAGCAACTGCTTCATGATCCTGTCGCCCATTCGAGTGCCCGGCTTCTGCTTCGCCTGGCTCGAGCTCGTGTCCCACAGCCAGTTCATGCCCAAGCTGCTCCTGTTCAAGTCGCAAAGCGTACGTCGTTTTGTGCCACACGTCAAACGAAGAGAGAAGAGTCGCCGCTCACTCACGCTCGTTCATCTTGTCGCGACACAACAGGGCTGGCCGGTGTTCCAGCAGCTGCTGGTGGAGCTGTTCAAGTTCTTGGAGCCCTATCTGGTGAATGTGGAGCTGAACGAGCCCATCCGTCTGCTCTACAAGGGCACCCTCCGAGTGCTCCTGGTGCTGCTTCACGACTTCCCCGAGTTCCTGTGCGACTACCACTTCAGCTTCTGCGACGTCATCCCGCCCACCTGCATCCAGATGAGGAACCTCATTCTCTCCGCCTTCCCGCGTAACATGCGTCTGCCCGGTACGCCTCCTCTCCCTTTCTACTTAGTACTTTATGTTATGTGTGCCGTATCGTGCCGTGTGCGTAGCGGAGGAGTTGGCACTGACATTGATTGTTGTAACTCCTCCGCTGCGCACAGACCCGTTCACGCCCAACCTGAAGGTGGACCTGCTGCCGGAGATCAGCCAGCCGCCGAGGATCCTGTCCAAGTACACGGCCGCCCTCACGGCCAACAAGACCTTCAAGCAGGAGGTGGACAACTACCTGAAGACCGGCCAGCCCTACACGTTCCTCCTCGAGCTGCGTTCCAAGCTCTTCCTTCCGCAGGGCCAGGCGCTCGTGGGCGGCACTCGCTACAACGTGCCCCTGATCAACGCGCTCGTACTCTACGTCGGCGCCCAGGCCGTGGCCCAGCTCCACCCAACCACTTCGCAGCCGCCCGCGCCCATCAACCAGTCGGCCCCGATGAACATCTTCCAGCACCTGGCGCTCGACCTCGACACCGAGGGCCGCTACCTGTTCCTCAACGCCATCGCCAACCAGCTGCGCTACCCGAACAACCACACCCACTACTTCACGTCGGTGCTGCTCTACCTGTTCGCCGAGGCCAACCAGGGACAGGGTCAAGGCCAGGGCCAGGGCGAGCAGTCGAGCCAGGAGATCATCCAGGAGCAGATCACCCGCGTGCTCCTCGAGCGGCTCATCGTCAACCGGCCGCACCCGTGGGGCCTGCTCATCACCTTCATCGAGCTCATCAAGAACCCGCGCTACAACTTCTGGAGCCACTCCTTCACCCGCTGCGCCCCCGAGATCGAGCGCCTCTTCGAGTCCGTCGCCCGCTCGTGCATGGGTCCCGGCCCCGGTGGCGCCCCCAAGAGCGACCGTCCCGGCCTTGTAGATAAGTAAGCTCCGCTTCGACGGTCAGCTCCTCTACTCTCTTTGCTGCAAATATTACCCCCCCCCCACGTTTTGTTTTGAATAAACACCCTTTTCGCACGCTGAGCCCAAAATAATAATAACTGTAATAATAAAAATAATAAAACACACCAAGAAGTTGCTGAATGACTGAGTACAAGCTCGTGCTGTTGGGCGGCGGCGGTGTGGGATCGTCCTTCCAGGCGTGGATCCTGCTGGTCAAAGAAGACGACAACGTGCCCATTGTGCTGGTGGGCAACAAGAGCGACCTGGAGCACCTGCGGGTGGTGCCCACGTCGGAGGGCGCCGGTCGGCGTTCGCCTGCAACTACCACGAGACGTCGGCCAAGTCGAGCATCAACGTTGAGACCTGCTTCTTCGCGCTGGTGCGCGATGATCGGCAAGGCGAACCGGGAGGACAAGGGCTCGAAGGACCGGATCAAGCTCAAGCAGCAGACTCCCTCTCTCCCTTTGGAGGAAGGGGAAGGGGAAGGGGAAGGGGAAGGGGAAGAGGAAGAGGAAGAGGAAGAGTTGTACGTAATCGCGAACAAAAAATGAACAGATTATCACACCACACACCCACAACCAACAAATAAAAGTAAAAAGAGAAAACAATAAACAATAAAAACCAAAAACGCTGTATTGTTAGTCCTCGGTGGGGGTGCCGAGGAGGGCGAGCTTCTCGACGCCTTGGATGCAGAGGGCGAGGCAGGCGTTTTCGACTTTCTTGACGCTACTCTCCATGACCCCGATCTTTTGTCGCAGGTCGTTCTTCTTGTCGGTCGTGAGCTGCTGGAAGCCTTCGCGTTGTGCCAACCATGACATGTCAGCTCGCACCCACCACCACCGCCACCCTGCGAGAGGAGACGAGGAGGGTACCCTCGTAGATGGCTTGGATGAAGCCGCGGATGGCGTGCGCTTCCTCAACTTCGCCTGCGTTGATCGCCCCGATGGCCTTTCGCATGAGCTCTCCCGTAAGATCTGCACACCGCACACGCGCGCAGTAACGCCGGTTAGGGAGTGACCAAGCTTCCCGGCTCAGGCTCCGAGCTTACCGGCGATGCCCAGCAGGTAGTCCTCGTCGTTGACGAAGAAAGCGACGTGCTGCACGCAACGAGACAAAGGCGTGAGCCACGAAAGACCGACACAAGCGCCGCCGCAGCGGCGTGTGCGTACGTTGGGGGTGCCGGCACGGATGACCTCCTCCACCTCCTCGCGGGTGATGAGGGCGGCGTGCTTGATGTAGTGGAGGAACGACACCGCTTCGATGAACTCCTGCAGGCCGGGGCTGAAGGCGCGGCGATACCGCCAGTACTCCTGGCCTGCACAATTCATTACAGACAACGTCGTAGAACCATCATCGTCAGCAACGACTGTCGTGACTATATGGGGTCGACGTGGGCGCCCCGTGCCTTGGAGCTCGGCCACGATCTTCTCGAGGGTGGTGAGGATGACAGCGAGGTCGGTGTCGGCCTGCTGGAGGAGAGCCGAGCGTTCGTCATTGCGCTGGAGCAGGAAGATGAGGCGCTTGCTGCCAATCGTCAGGTCCCGCGACAGCTTGACCAGCCGCTCGTGCCTGTCGTTCTGCGCTCACGCCAATAGAGATGCAAGTAAAATAAATGCAGGTACGGTGTAATGAAAAGAAAGAAGATAGAATAATGCAGGGGTCGCCTTTCGTACGAGATCGTCGAGTGTGGCAGAGTAGGACTGGAAGAGGGCGAGGATGGGGCTGTCCTTGGGTATTTCTCTGCGCGGCTTTTTGTTAGCAGTCTTGGAGGATGCCTCGCCCCCTTCGCCGCTTTCGCTCGATGCACGCGGCCGCCTGCCACCCCGCCCGCCCCTGCTGCCGCCACGACCTCCGCCCCTGCCCCTTCCTCTGCTTCCTCCCTCCCCACCCATCGGCTGCCCAAGCGCTTCTTCGCCTTCCATCTTTATTTTATTTATTTTTTATTGCAATTTAAATTAGAAATGATATATCAATATTCCTTTCCTTTTCTCCAAGGATTTCTCACAGTTCTTGGAAAAATGGCTCTCGGGCCAGCGCGATTGTGCGATCCAATCGCACATCTCACAATCGCCAGACGTTAGCATCACACCAGCCCTCACAGAATGCGTCGCTTTTCTTCGTCCATCGTTGCGTCCGGAAGGATCGCCTCCTCGTCTGCTCTCGTTAGGACTGCGGTTTTGGGCCAGGGCCGTCTCGCTGCGACCTACGCCACCAAGAAGAGTACATCACCTTCGAATTTTTCCCCCATTTCAGTTGCACTCGCCATTTTGTTTCTCCTCTAGTGGTGTTCTTCAACGCCACTCCTCCCACTGACGATTTGGGATTTCTCATCAAATTTTGTGATGCGATTCGATCTTCGAAATGACAGGGAATGCGGAGACCGAGCTGCACTCGTACTTCGAGAAGGAGGTAGAGCTTCTCGATCAGGATGAGGAGGCCAAGACCCAGGATCAGGAGCTCCAGAAGCGCCTCGACGATTGGGCCAAGCGTTTCCATTTCAACGTGAACATGGGGGCGACTGAGATCGTGGCCACCAAGAAGGATGCCGCCCTCAACGCTGAGTACTCTTGCCCCCTCTTCTTCATCTGCTCCGCGTAACATCTCCGACGGAGTCTCATTATCTGTGCCCTCCTCACCGCGATCAACAGCGTCACCGTCAAGATCGACCCCAACATCGAGGAAGCCGACAACTATGGCGACGAGGAAGACGCTGAGGACGAGGAGGGTGAGGAGGGCGAAGACGCCGAGGAAGCCGAGAAGGCCGAGGGCGAGGAGGGAGACGAGGGAGACGAGGAGGAGGAGGAGCCGGAAGCGGTACTGCCTCCCTCCACCACGTGCGTGCGTGTGCGGTGTGTGCTCACGCGTGCGATGTGCCGTGCGCGTGTGTCCAGGATGGCTTCGGAAGCGTGCACTTCACCGTCGAGGTGAAGAAGCCCGAGCAGACGATGCTGCTCTACGGCGTGGTGTCGGAGTCGGCCGTGACGGTGACCGAGGTGGCGCTCCAGGCCGCTGACGGTACCGAGAAGTCGGCCTACGATGCCCAGCGCCTCGACGACGAGGGCCAGGAGAAGTTCCGCCTCTACCTCAGCTCTCTCGGCGTCAACGATTCCTTCGTCCCCGCCGCCTACGCTGCCGCTCACCTCCATGACGAGCATGGTACCCCCCTCACGCGCTATGTTTCTCCCCGCCACCTTCTCAGACACTCATCAACGAACGCGCTGACACTCGTGTGTGTGTGTGTTGCGTTACAGCTTACCACAAGTGGGTGAAGGATGTGATGGCCTTCACCAAGCAGTAAGAGTTCCCAGACGTGTGCGGGCCTATCGCCCCCATGTACGGCCGCTGCTCTGCCCCAACGAAGAAGCAGCAAACAACAAAAACAGCCCTTCACACCTTTGTCTTTGCCTGCTTCGCTGTTGATTTCTTTTTATTGTTCTTCGGCTGCCGGGGTCAGTCCCATAATGGCAGGAAGGTACGGAAGAGAGAAGACGACGGAGAGCGAGCGGGTGTAAAACTATTCGCACACAGGTATAAAGCAGAGGTTGTGGCGATGCGGTGCTGCTCCCCTCTTCCTGAAACCTGTCATAGCCACCAACAGGGGGTTGCAGCAAACCTAGGCTGCCATCGAGGTGCTTCACGGCGCTTCTGAAATGGCGGCTGTCTCTGCTTCCCACAGACTCAACACCAAACGAACGAATGAAAGAAGAACAACACTCCAAGTTGAAGAGGAGCTGGCGCATGGAAAAGAATGAACATGTTGGTTGTGATGTGTACAAAGAAAGTTACAAACGATTACACCGTAGTTGTTGTACATGCGGAGGGTACGATGGGAGAAGGGAGACTATGCAGAGGCTTGCGAACAGCTCGAGAAGGGTGTCAGCAGGCGGTGGCGTTGCGTGCGGGGGCGACCAGAGACGTCGTGACGGAGGGCACGAAGGAGACGACATTGCACACCTCGGCCAGCGATTCCCTGTAGTGGGGCATCCTCTCGAACAGATCGACAAACAGCGCCGACTCCACCACCCTGGCGAAGTGGCCATTGTAGGTGAACCGAATGTACTCTTGGCACCTGCAGAGAAGACTGGTTCAGCTGCTGAAGAAGACAACGAAAGAGACCATTCGCAGCTGATTGTACCGTTTTTCGAGGTGCCACGCAGAGTAGATGTTGGCGATCTCGAGCAGCTTGGCGATGTTGTCCAGGTCGAGGCTGTCGCCAAGGAAGGCCTCGCACTTGGACTTGAGCGGGTCGAGGCCGTAGATGTCGGCGGCACGCAGGACGTCCACCACGCACGACTCATCCAGCTCCACGCGTCCCTTGTAGATGAACTCCACGATCTTGTGCATCGTGTCAAAGTCCACATCTCGCACCACCAGCCGCTGCAGATCGCCCTTGCCTGCAGCCGCCATGCCCACCCACCACGCTTGAGAAAAGGCACTACCTCTCCCGACGGTCACCAATCGACTGGATCTGGGGCGGTACCGTTGCTCTGCGAGTCCTTCTTCCTTCTGATGTGCTTGTGCTCGGGCGGCCCGTCCCTCTTGCGCTTCTTCTTGAGGTCCTTGGCGCCGGTCGCCTTCTTCTTGGTCGCCTTGGCTTCCTTCTTCTTCCGTTTCTTGGGCTCCTCCTCGTCGTCGTCCAGTTCCAATCCACCGCCGCTGGCTGCCGTCGACGCGGTCGAGCCGTTGTCCTTCTCCTCGCCGCTCTCCTTGTCGTTGCCCTCCTCGTCGTCGCTCGCCTCCCACCGGAGGAAGAGCGCCGCAAAGACCTTGCAGCGAGCCGCCAGGATGGCGCGGTGGCAGTAGATCAGCCCTTCGCCGTCGCCTCCACCGGAGCTGTCGTTGTGCGCCGCCGCAGTGACGTTGCGCGGGCGACGCACGGCCGAGACCTCGCCGACGAGCGTGGTGGTGGAGGAGGGCTCGTGACGCGGGGCGACCAGAACGAGGTCGGGGAACATCTCCCGCCTGTTGAAGAGCATCCCAAAGTCCTCGAGGTCCTTCTCCATGTGCTCCTTGGCCGCCACGGCGTCCTTGTTGTGCGTCAGCTGGTCGACGTTGAGGTTCATGTTCTTGCACAGACTCAGCAGCGCCTCGAGCAGGTGCTCGTTCTCTGTGCGCCTGATCACAGGCGACAGAAGCAGCACTCGCAGCGTCTCCGGCGAGTCGTTCAACGCGAACGTTCTCCTGCGACCACGACACGCACGGCACACAACACGACACGAAGAGACAAATAATGACACACGACAGATTAGTGAGTGCTGTGTGGGGGTTGGGGGGGGGGGCAGGTGGTCACCAGAGGAAGTGGCGCGCCCTCTCGCCGAACTTGGAGGAGAACTGCTCGAGGCAGAGGATGGCGAGGGTGATGACGGCCCACAGCGGGTCGTTGTGGCCCTGGCGGATGTCCCGCACCAGGCCGAGCAGTGGCACGAAGGGCTGGAGCGTGCGCCAGGAGTTCTTGATGAGGATCTTGGTGTCTCGGATGCAGTTGCGCAGGAACGTGAACGCTCCGATCTCCTCCAGCAGCGCACTGTCGCACACAACACCATCAGCAGCAGCAGCAGCAGCAGAATGCACGATTGAGTGACCCACAGGCTATGAAGAGGGTGAGGCGAGTACCGATTGATGCGATTGTAGGCGAGATTGCCGATGGTGAGGCAGAGGAGGAATTTGATGCATTCCAATTCGTTGGAGGCGTCCTCTCTCCTGCGAAAGACGCGCTCGCCGACCATGAAGTGCAGAAACTCTATGACGCCCTTGTTCACCAGCACCCCCTGCCAAGCACCACCGTTTCCATTGTCATTGCCGTTGCCATTACATCAATCAGTGCCCACCAAGAACACAGAAGACAGGGAGAGAGAGGGGACGGGTACGTGGAGGTCGTTCTTCTTGCCGCTGTCGTAGTGGCTCTCGCACACGTTTTGGATGATGGCGCTCATCGTCTGGAGAAAGTCCGCCCAATTGGGGTGGCCCTTCTCGTACTTGATCTTGTTGAACGTCAGCATCACCGCATCCACTCCGCCTGGGTTCGCAACCATCGCCTCCACGTGAGACGACGTTCTGTCTAGCTCGATCGCGAGCAGTGCAACAAAAAAAAAGTGGTGTTAGACGTCGTACCGTAGAGCACCACGAGGGGCTTGTTCTCCTCGTGCGCGGAGATGGCCCAGACGCACGACAACGCCTCCAAGCATATCAAGTCATCCACCCCTGTTCCCTCGCCGCGCTCCATCGTCAGTAAGTTCCCTGTGTCGTGGTCTCGGGGGGCGAGGGGGCTACCGGGTTGGTCGCCGTCCCAGGAAGGACGGAAGAGGGCGGCCTGGTGGATGGCGTGCCACGCGGCATCGGTGCGTCCGACCGAGACGGCCTTGCGCGTGTCACCCGACACGGCCTCGTGAAGCAGCCGGAACATGTCCAGCCTCCGTGCTTTGTCCGCGTCGGCCAGGCCCGCGATCACGTCCTCCACCGTAATGGTCACCTCCTCTTCCTGGCTCACGCGACCCCTCGGGTGGTGAGTTTCGGGGGGGGGGAGGTGAGTAGGGACGAAAGGGGGTACCACATCGTCGAGGAGGGCCTGGGGTGGGTGGTGGGGGTTGTGTGGAGGGGCGCCGTTCATTGTTGTGACGGCTGGTCGGGGAAGGAAGGTTAAGATGTTATCTCCCGACGAGCAAAGCTCGCCCAAGGCAAAGGGGCTATGGGGAGTTCGGGCTTTTGGAGGAGAGAGAGAACCAGACATACCAAAGGATGAAGAGTTCCCTCGGGGGCCGCCTTCTTACTTCCGCGTTAAGATGGAGGTGGTGGAGTTCACCTGCCCAGACTTGTCAACAGAGGTGCAAAAAGTTTTGTAACTTTGTTCTCTTGAGGCTTTTGGGAGAAGAGCTCGGGGTCGGTCGCCAGAGGAAGAAGAGCGCTCGAGGTGGGGTCGAAGTTGACCCAACTTCCAGGGGCTGGGTTGTGTCGAGCGGGGGGGGCGGAAACCAAAAAGCTGCATTCAACTTCGCAGCGCCCCAATAGGAAGTTGAGCCCTGGCGAAAACTCAACGACCAACCGCGCCAGGCAAGATAGAAATTGCTGGAGAAAAATATTTTCTTTCAGGCCACAACGTCGTCCTACAGCTTCTGGAGGTACCACGAAGGGTACCTGTTACGGGTGGACAGCACCTGCAGGTTGTTGGCGAACGCGAACTCGTTCACAGCTCCCTTCACCGCTCCACTCCCCTCCGATCCTGCCATGTTGATCACCATCAATAACTCAACCCAATAAAGTGCTGGTGGAAGGCAACACACCATCCATGCATTGACGCCATGACTGGCCAAGCTCGTGGGCTTCGGATCCAGAAAGGTAGTCGTGGCCGGCGAAGATACCGCCCATCCGCAGCTTGGGCCACCAGGTGCGCAGGTCCTCGCGCACCCCGCAGTAGTCGTGGCGCGCGTCCACGTAGATGAAGTCGAGCGAGTCGTCCGGCACAAGCTTGGCGGCCTCGGTCGTGTACATGCGCAAGAACTCGGTGATGTGGGCGTACCGCTCCAAGTTGCGCTTGGTCTCCTCGAAGCGCGCCTCCTGATCAGAATCTTCCACCTGCACCAGACGATCGGGTTAGTTTTGGCAACACGCGCACGAGACGAGTGGGTACGTTGGCGCCGTCATCGTAGCTTTCTTGATGCTTCCACACATCAACGAGGATGTACTTCTCACAGCTTGGCCAGCGCGAGAGGGTCTCATTCGAGAAAAGTCCTTGCTGCACTCCTGGAGGAAGAAAAGTCAACACCGCCTCGTTTCGTTGGTGGTGATGACGCTCTCGATCACAACCGGGTGTCGTGTGCCATGCGAGCCGTGCGTGTCGTCAAGTGCCAGGTGCAGTGAAAGGGAGAAAGGTTACCGAGCTCGGCGCCAGTCTTGAGTTCGTAGAGCTCGGCAAGACAGCCCAGCTGCTCGCGACTCCCGAGGGGTATCAGCGGCAGTCGTTGGCCTCTTTTCCTCCCCTCCGGTCGCTGCTGTGGCCACCATCCGGCCTTGGGCGGGATGAGCGAGCCGCACTGGCTGTAGATCGTGTCCACGTCACTTTCGGACGCCCGCTCAGGGTACCGCCAAGTCTCCTCCCTCACGTCGTCATGCAAAGGGGGACTCCCGCAGGAGGAGGAGGAGAGGAGCAAGTAGAGACAAAGGGAGAACAGGACGAAGCTGACAACACGCCAGTCCACCATCACCATCTTTTGGTACTTTTTCCTGAAGGAATGGTATCCTTTTCTGCGCTGGCTGACAAAAAAGAACGGAACGCCATGCAAAAACCCCTTGTGCTTGCGTCTAGTTGGGGAGGAAGTGCTCGGTCGCGGGGTCCCTGAGGTTGTAGTTGGAGGCCATCGAATGGCCGTAGGCACCTAGAGGCAGGTAAAGGATGAGTCACACAATGATGGCGGGAATGCCGATGTGACGTACCAGCAGTGGCGATGAGCACGATGTCGCCCTCTTGGGTATCGGCCGGCATCGTGCGCGCGTGTCCAAAGACTGCGCGGGCAATGGGTGGTGGTGAGTTGGGTGGTTCGGGGGCTGCGCTGTAGCAGAGTTGATTCACGCACCATCACCCGACTCGCAGATGTTGCCCACGATCTCAGCGGTGATGGAAGGCCCGCCCGGAGTGGAATGGAGGCGGGACAGGTTCACGATCTGATGGTGTGCAGCGTAGAGGATCGGACGGATGAGGGAGTTGAAGCCCGTGTCCACGCCTGGAAGCACAATTTCGCAACAGCCGTATCAAGTGCATGTAAGCCAACGGGACCAATATGGGCCAGTTGTGTCGAGGAGAGAAGGTCAACCGATGTAGTTGTAGCTGCCCTTGGACTTGAGCTGCGTCACGGTGCACAGGAGCACGCCTGGAATCGATTCGCTGTTATCAACTGTTCGTAGTTGGGGACTAGGCAGATGGGGTTGCACTTACCAGCTTCGGCAATGGGGAAGCGGCCGGGCTCGAGCCAGAGGGAGAACTCGGGGTTCTTCTGCTTGAACTCCTTCACCAGCTTGTCCACTTCCTAGCACGCACAGCAAGGCGACACAGCCGAGATTGGCCCTCTCTCAACGCTGCCCTGGCGCTCACTCGGGGGCGGGGGAGGGGGCACTCACCTGCATGTTGAGCGCCGTCTGCTCGCCGGGTACCTCGACAATCCCAAGGCCTCTGCAGAAGGGGAGCTATTAGGTCGGCGTCTCCCTCTCGAGAAGAAGCAAACGGTTGGCGGTGGCCGTGAGCGTACCCGCCCAGATCAAGGGACGTGGCCGAAGGGAAGTACTGACGCGCGCAGGCCGCAAGGTAGTCGGCGTTCTCCCTCCATGTGGTGGACGAGAGAATACCAGAGCCCACGTGGGCGTGGAGCGCGGCCACGTGCACACCGTGCTTGGCGGCGAGCTCGGCCGCGATGGGCAGCTCTTCGGAGGCGATGCCGAACTTGCTCTCCTTGCCCGCCGTTTTCACATGCTCGTGGTGTCCCTACGCGCACACAAAGATTGCCGCGTTTCGTGTTCCATGGTAAGTCGCACACACCACTTTGGCGAACGACAGCACAGCTGAGTGTCAGCTGGCCGAGAGCGGAAAAAGTGCGTACCTTACGCACGGAGGGGTCGAGGCGCAGCATGATGTGTTTGCCCGCGAACGTGGAGCCCCACTGCTGGAGAGGATAGAGCGAATCTGGGTCGATGCGGACATCACGATGTCGCGAACGAGACAGAGAAAGGGGATGTGAGTTGCGTTCGAGGCTGTGGCAACGAGCTTCCCTTACGCAGCGATTGTGGTATCAGCGCTCATTGATCTCTGATCGGACTGTTCCCCAGCGGCGGAACAGGACAAACAAGTCGTGAAAGCACAACCACGCCACTGTAAGTACCCAGCGTAACGATGGCACCCACGCTCAGGGCGTACTCGTACTCCTCTGCGCATGGGGAAAGTGCCGTGCATCAGATATCAGCGCACGATCACGCTCGTTAGAAGAGGTTGGTACTGCGTGGAGCGAAGTTCGGCGTGAAGAGAAGACGGCCGCCACGGAAAGGCGATGTAGTGGTGGCGGGCGCCGCCGAGTCGATCAGCTTCAGGCCGGGGAACAGCGCCAGCACGTGCTTCACTTCGCCGGGGCTCACGCATTCGAACCCGAACCCGGCCTCGTACACAGCTCGCAACACTGCCAGAATAAATAAATAAATAAAACTCAAAATATGAAAGTGGGCGCGGTGGCGTACCGTCAGGGTGAGGGTTGGCCTTGATGGCGTAGAAGAAGGAATCGATGGAGGAAAGGCTGCGGAGTTGAGAAAGGGCCTGCGCAACGGAGGGTCCATCGTAGACGTAGAGCGGCGAAGACTCCCGCGCCAAATCAATCAGCTGCTGGGTCCTCCCCTCCGTGCTCCACCACCGCCCCTCGATCCCGGACGCCGCTTCCGCCTGCATTCCAATATCAATTTTAATATTGACCGATTTTCTTATGTTCGCCATGATTTCCCCCGATTTCCTCCTAGCCGAAGAATGTCACGAATGTTGTTGCCCTGCAGGTGTTGCAAAGAAATTTCTGGTTTAGCTACCTTCCGCGCATTGGGCGCTAAGTCCGAGAAAAAGACTAAAACCTTTTCGCGGGAGGCTGATCCTTTTTTCTTCACCCGCACACAAACGCATCATCACAGACCACCAACCATCCTCGACTTCCAACCATCCTCCACACATCCCACAATGAACGCCTTCATCGCTTACCCCAGCTCGACCGCCTACAACTGCC